TGACTTTGTAGTACAACTTTAGTACGCGGAGTAGCTGGGGAGCTGGAAGTTGAGAACTGGCGACGTGGTAGTATAACTGTAGTACGCGGAGTAGCTAGGGAGTGGGAAGATGAGAACTAGCGAGTAGGTAATACAACTTGTGTACACGAAGTATCTGGGGAGCTGGAAGCTAAGAACTAGTGACTTTGTAGTACAACTTTAATACGCGGAGTAATTAGGGAGCTGGAAGCTAAGAACTAGCGACGTGGTAATACAACTGTAGTACGCGGAGTAGCTAAGGAGTGGGAAGATAAGAATTGGCGAGTGGATAATACAACTTATATACGCGGAGTATCTGGGGAGTTGGAAACTAAGAACTAGTAACTTTATAATACAACTTTAGTACGCGGAGTAGTTAGGGAACTAGAAGCTAAGAATTGGCGACGTAGTAATACAACTATAACACGCGGAGTAACTAGGGACTAGGAAAATAAGAACTAGCGAGTGGGTAGTACAACTTAAGTACGCGGAGTATCTGGGGAATTAGAAGATTAGCACTAGCGACTTTATAATACAACTTTAGTACGCGGAATAGCCGTGGAGCTAGAAGCTAAGAACTAGCGAGTTTCTAATACAATTTAAATACGCGGAGCAATCTGTGGAATTAGAAGCTAAGAATTAGCGATTTTATAGTATAAATTTAGTACGCGGAGTAGTTAGGGAGCTAGAAGATAAAAACTAAGAATTGGCGACTTAGTAATACAACTTTAGTACGTAGAGCAATCTATGCAGCTAAAAGCTAAGAACTAGCGACTTTATAATACAACTTTAGTACGCGAAGTGTCTATAGACCTAAAAAATGAATACTAGCGACTTTATAATACAACTATAGTATACGGAATAGCTAAGGAACTAGAAAATAAGAATTAGCGACTTAATAATACAACTTTAATACGTAACGATAAGTTAGACTATTATCGCTTAGCCGCCGTAGGGGATTTAAGAGGCCTACGTGCAAATTCATTCAGTATATGCACAAAGAAAATCTTAACCAATAACAGACATAAACATACACACACAAACAAAAACTCACACACAAAGACCCATGCACTACCGCAACTTACTCGGACACGCACATAAACAAAGACTCATATACCCACACGAACATAAGTACACACACAAAGACCCACACACTACCTCTCGACTTAACACTACACACTTAACAAATAACTCGCACTCTAACTTCCTAACTTCCTACGTAATAAAAAAAAAAACTTTCGAGCCACTCGTCGTCTAATTAATATATTATATATTTCTTTATTAATTTTTCTTTAATTTATATATTTTAACTATATTAAATATTAATTATATTTTAACACAAATGCTTTAATTATATTCAAATTGTTAATATATTTTTTTTTCTATATCATTTCTTTATTTAAAATCTACGTTGTCATAATATTACACAAATTATTATATGATATTATATAGATGGAAATTATTTTGTAGAATGGGAATATTGATATATATTTATCATCTGATCTCATCCTTTGATGAATCTCAATGATCGGCAATGATTCAGTGCAACAGCAACCACACCTTGGCACAGTCTGAATGCTGCAGGTTGCCGAGGTTGTTGGGTTTTGGCTCTGCTGCATTGCAAGTGTGTTTTTCGTGGAAACACCTTTATCACAGTGCAACCTCTCTCCTCTCAGGTTCCCAACCGACGTCACTGCAAACGCCCACGTGGAAAGTGTTGAACAGCTTGACTTCTCCTCCGGCAAGACAAGCATCCAGGCTCGAAATGATCTCAAAACATCTCAAAACATAATACGGATTTCTTTTAGATGATATTTGTTTGTCAATCAGGATTATGCGGTTTCGACCCACACCCATATCAAGTGATGATGTCCATCCTTTCTGTCAACCGAACAAAAACACGATCTCTACACACCCGTTTACTTCAATTGGCTCAAATATGATCACGCAAAAACAAATTGGATGAATAAACCGACAACTGCCATGGTAGAAGGAGCCTTTGCTCGAATGTGTAAGAGTCCTGTCTTTGCCGTAAGGGTTTTGCTTCTTCCCTTCTGAGGATTGGCGCAACCCGATCACCGAACCTTGTCTACAGTCTACATGTCATTGGACCTCCTCCCCTATGTCTGAGTTCCTGTGATAGTTGATGCTGATCTATTCCAATGTGAAAGCTGACTAGAGGACACGCGTCACATCTTTGGTGCTCAACCAATTGGATTTGCTTCCCACTTTGCTCCTTGAGGCTGTGGTTTGCGCTGTGGGTCGTCGCCTTGTGTCCGGATCTTGTCAACTGAACCACGTCAGTGACACCAGACACACGACATGAAATAAACATTAGCGTACAGTAGTTTATTTCACATGGATGGGCATTGTGTCAGGCGTTCCCAACACAAAACAACATATGTGATCTTTTTGTATATGATTAAGTTACCCCGAATAAAGCTCTCCGGAATGTAAATCTCCAATCAGCTGTTGCAAGCGGTGTCTTCTATTCTGTCTACCGAAGCCTTTTCTCCAAGTTCCAGTGGCTCCATTTACACTGGGCACTTACATCACATCACAGCTGAACTTCTCTATCTCCCCTCTTGAATGGGCTCTTCCAATTTCTGCAAGAGCTTACTCCGTCTTCACAGCGTGCTTCTCAGAAGCGCAAAGGAATGGCCGGTAGTGCCGGCTACACAAGTTCTGCGTGATGCAGCTTCTATCATTCAAAACTTTTAGCAGTTCCCTCACCAAAGCTGTCAGTCGGCTTAGGGGATACGGCAACCCCCTATTCACTTTCGTCACTTCAGGCGGCCATGGGAGCACAGTTCAGAGACCAACCTCAAATAACCTCTGCGAAGGCTAAGCGGCTACGGCTAGTCGCTGAAGTCGCTAATCGTTCGCGGCCGAAGCGTGGTCGCCAGACCAGGACCGAAGTGGAACTGAGCGGACATACCCTACTCAACAAGAGCCACTGACCCTAAAAGGCTCAGAGAGTGCCTGCGAAGCTGTTGTGCTGGCTGCCAGTGTGGCGTTCGGTTTCCTTAAAGGAAAAGTCAACTGATCTCACCTTCTGCACAGTGGTAACATGTTGTCTGGAAGCACCATCATGAATAATGAACTGCTTTTTGCAGCCAACGTTCTCCGTTGTTGTCTCCGGCGCCCTGGCAGCATCAACAAGAAAATGGGTCAGGCGCAGCATTTAGGAATCCCTGAGCCACTCCTTGAACATCTCCAACTCTTCACCTACTTCTGCAAGCAACCCGGCTATCCAACGAACCCTTGGAAGAAAGCTGTGCGTACTCACAATTCAGCCAAGGGACAGGTATCCTGGAGAATCCGGACCTGGCACTTGCCCGCGATTGAGCACTCCAATTTAGTAACTCTGAGTAATGTAACCCCAGCTTCAACGGCCATCAATACAGCTTCAGAAACCCTGCAGGCCAAAGTGGCAAAATCACTCTTTGAAGGTATGAGTACATAACACATACAGCAATAAATAACAACCCAATAACAATAACATACAATAAACACTTTCGATATCTTTGGGTCTAGTGCAAGCATCCTCGGCCTCCGCCCTCAGTCGGTGGAGGAGGTGGGATGGCAGCAGCCTTCTGGTTTGTACCTCCAACTTCATCAAGATCACTTTTGAACTGATGAGAAGACAACTCTGGAATTCTTCACTTTGTCACGAATAGACTGCCTTCAAAGAAAACACGAAGCTGCACTACTTGAAACCGGCCTGGCAGCTGTACTGGACCACATGTGGTCAACATACATGGTCCTCTTTACTCTTCTGTCGGAGAATCCTGTCTGAACGATTCACCTGCATGTCCAACCCTTTTTGGGACAAACCCGACACGGTCTTCAACCCAACACAGGCCCCGACGTTCTTGAATCAACACCGTGCCGATGGAGCCCACAGGTGAGGCGCACTCCTGGCCGTGGACTGCCGGCGTAGTCTGCGGGGACGCACGAAGATCTTCAAGTTAGGACGCGCGAAGATCGGACGCAGGGCCCTTCCGGGTCTTTGTTCTTTCTTCACGGATTCGCGATGTTTTTTTCCATCATTTTTCAACAATTTCTCAAAAGCTGGTCAAACAAAGGCCCCCCAAGCCTATCGAATGAATCCAGTCATCCACTCCGTTGCTAAGCTTCTGCAAAGAAACCTGAAGAGAATCTAGTTTTGTTTTTGTAAAATGCGGTTGGGCCCTGCAAGGTGGAACCACTCCTAAGGTCAAATGTCCTCTGCAAGAGCCGGCACAAGGGGCAAAAGGAGCAAGGCAACACGTCTAAGGACTCCTGGCGAGTTGCTTCTTTTCTCGCCACTGGGTCCAAATTGCTTAGCAACCATTCAAATCGTCGGCACCAGCTCGTCTATATTGCAGCCACGGTTTTGTTTCAATGCCCATTTGCCCAAATTGTCCAAGAGGCAAACAAAAAGGAATATAAATTTGGAGTTTAGTCTTGTCCATCGCGCAGCACATTTGTCGCTTCGTCCGAGATGCCTGACATTTGCCGGGGATCGGGTGGCGGTAAAACGGGTTAAGATTTGAGCCTGTGGCTGCATCTGATATTTCAGCTGTTGGCAAACAGCTAAATCAAAGCCTCACGACTCTTTTGAAACCCAGTTCTTGCAAGAACTCAGATCAAAAAACCCTTGTTCGGAGTGTAGCTTCTTCAAATTTACCTCTGCAAACTGCTGAAGTCAATCAAACCTTTGATGCCGCAGCGGCCTCTATGCCGTTGAGGAAATGGAGCGGCCACCCCAGCTGCCATGCTTTGGGCAGCTATAGATTGCAGGATATTGCAAACAAACCTGTGATTCTTCTCCATCCCCGCTTCAGGAGGCCAAATGGGCAAAGCTCAGCACTGCAGGAGTCTTTTTTGATGTCCAGGATCTCCGGGCCCCACTAGTTCTGTTGCACAAGCAGGATCTAAGTCTACCTCAAAATAAAGAACTGAGGCAGTTGCCTGCCATTCTTCTCAACAGTCTTCATATGCATTCATTAGGCCCCCTCACAGGAGATACAAAGAAACTTTGACAGGCGTCGGAATTCTCTTCGCTCAGTGAGAACCATGACTGCCATGGCCTCCTTGGCAAAGGGTAAGGCATGCTTTGGATTCACGTGGTCTTAGCTAATTCACAACCCACAACCCATGCATACACTTCTTTGGAATGGCATGAATCTGTTTGCAAACCTCAAATCTACAACTCGACTGCTACACGAAAAACCGGTGGCAACACCTCTCTCCTTTCTGGGGCAAACCGATGGATGCGATCCATCGTGCAAACTCGTCCGTGTCCTGAGTTCAATCATTCAACCATGCTCGATGGTGTTCCGTTGCCAATCTGGTTGAGAGATGTTGAGAGTCCTGTCATCTGACATGCACTTCCAATCACTAAAGAAAAAACATGATAAAGTCGCCAACTCAGCCCGCAACTACAGATGGTTTGGCCTGGCAAACCAAAACCTACTACTGAATGTCAAATCAACTCAAATCAATCATCGCAACGGCCGGTACAATGCTGCCTGACCAAAATGCTGATACAGCAAGCTAGCCACATCCACTTCTGTCATGCCTGGGAAGCATCGGACGACTTGTGGCAAATCGGGGTCTCTACATCTTTCAAAGTGTTTGTTCCGATGAGAAATCACACATGTTCACGGCTTAGGCTGTAGCCACTCTTCATGCCTTCCAACCAACTGGCAATTTCGAAGACCGTAATCCTGCATCGTAGATTCCATGGGACTGTTGTGGAGTACCGTGGAGTCTGTGGTGGGGCGGCTTCTCCTCCCATCCTGGTTCCGGTCAATGAGGCGAAAGAGCAAACGATAGTCTTCATCCTCCTCGTCCCTGGCGAACAATCACAATGACGAAGTGTTTGTTTTTGCCCACGCTGCTTTTTGTGAAGCAGCGCTCATACCTTTTCTGTGTATGAGAGTAACATTGGTTGGGGCTCTCACTACTAGAATCTCTCTCTGTTTATACATATTTTCATACACCGGTCTCTTTCATACAGTACACTGTACCTCAAAATGTGTATCTACAATCTACAAAGCTTGATACTTTGGCCACAGCCTTTTGAATTCACAAAGGGCTCGCCTTTCTACGCACTACAGTAGCTGAGCTGCTTTGACCTGGGTACACCCCTAAGTGATGCATCGACTTCTCTGCCGTTCGTCCCGAAGTTGGTCCCAACAAACTTGCCAGATCCGCCCCTTCACCGACGTGGCCTTGGTCCAGAAAACGATCAGAAAACGACAGTGTAGATCCGAAAACCATCGCGAACCGTTCCGCCCCATTGAGTACCTGCATTAAAAGCCTTCCGGCATGGTGTGGTTATACAAGCCTTCCATGGGCAAAAAAAAAGCCGACCCTTTTGCATGCACACGGTCACATGGGAGATCTTGCCTTCAACAAGGTGCACGGGACCTTCGAAACAAGATCCTTCCCGTAGCTAAAACTGTGTGAATTGGGGAGCCAGTGTTCTGACCCATCGTGCATCCATCCGAATCCCTGAGCTTCCAGGCCAGCGCGGCCACAGCTTGGAACTTGCTCCAGGTGAGCTGTCCGCTCCCTCGGTCTCCGTTGATTGTCGAGGTACCGTTCGGTCCCGGGGTACCGAGGTATCCAGTTACGGTCGAAGGATTTTCTGTCTGGACATTGAGCGATATGGGCGTTCTGGCCGATCATGTGCGCCCAAATACGGGCGTTCTGGGGGGCCGAGGCCAAGCCGAGCTTCACCATCGATAACGGACACATCTCCCTTTTGGCATATTGCGAAACTCGTCCGTAAAGCAACCAGCAGCAAGCGCACAACAGGCTAACATGACGCCAACTTTTGTAAGAGAACTCAGTTGTTGCCCTGAAGCAGCAAGATTTGGGTGGCCACCATCGTAGTCGATGCTGGCCAACAACTTCTCCGCAGAGTCCATGGCATGAGAAAAGCCCATTGCCTCCAAGGTTGTCGGGGAACTGAGGCCAGGTCTGCCTAGTAAGGGGAACGTGATATTGACTTGTCATGTAGAACTAGGCAAGTATCGTTTAGAATCTACCCAAAGAAGGGTTTATTATCTTCTAATTTTTCACTGCAGTCGCAAAGTCTTCTTGCACAAGTTGGAACAGAGTTGGAAGACTATAACTATAGGTTATTTCCTGCAAAGTTGGATGGCCCAAAAGACTCACTTTTCCATTGCAAAGCTTGCAACGGTCAGTCTTCCCACTCTCCGGCGCCTTCCAATGAGCAGCAAGGTCTTGGAGCATCACCTTCCGGTGGTGGCTCCGGTTTTGGTTGAACACTAAACAAAGACACAAGACATGCATAGAAGGTGGAATAAAATCAGGCTGAAGATTGGCCTTCTACGTTAGTCTTTTACTTTATGAGCAACATGTTCCTCTTGAATATGGGTTCAACATGATTCTACAGCCTTTTTGAGGATTGGCACACTGTACGTCTTGATCAGCATCATGAAGACTTGATCGTCAGTCACAAGGAACAGTGCTGGATCAATACTTACACCTCCTCGTTGTTGTTGATATCCAGGCTGCTGAAGATCTGCTCAATCTCAAATTGCTCGCCTAAGCAGCCCAGCTGGAACAATCGCAAGTGCCCTCCAACAAATGAGTGGATGTGGGTGATCGAGCAGGCCCAACTTGGCCGTCATCAGGCTTCAAACTTGCGCAAATGCTGTATGATTCAACATATTGTCAGTTGAGGAGGCGCTTCAGAATGAAGAAACACATGCGCGTGGTATTGAGGTGAACAAGTCAGTATTCCCGCAACTGGCAAGTTGCCTACACTCATGCCATATTCCAAAAGAAACCCTGCTCACCAGTTCAATGGAGGACATGCTGATCCGCTGGGAACACTGACTCTGTTCTTGCACCTCTGAAGGGCATCATGTGGTTTCATAAAATGCATATACAACCACAACTCGAGCGAGCGCTACTTGCATCACATGTCGCTGTAGGGCAAAGACCGAAACACCCGTAGCCCTCGCTGCCAAGTGATCTCTGCTCTGACTTGTGCTGGGCTATGCCTCCCATAGGGGGTCACAACTGACAGGATTCTTCTCGAGGCTGCTGAAATGTCAAATCGCTGTAGTCGGGAAGCATCCGCAAAAGTCAACGTGCTGGTCTTGACACACAGCCAAACTGAGCCACACAGCTGGAACAAATAAGAAAACATTGCCTGCCAGGGATTATTTCTATGATGTTTTTTATATACCGCGTTGAGTTCAGCCATGCCGCAATTCATCACAAGAACAGGAAAAGGAGAGGGCGCGAATCCTGAACAAAACACCAGCGCGACCATTGCAGCCCTGACTACCCAAGTCGTCTTTATCCCCACAATTCTAAGCCAGTTCGCCCGCGTTGTTTTGCTAAGAGATATCCGCTCGCACCCCCCACAGAGAAAACGACAAAAGACACATTGTTTTCCTTTTACTGCATCTTTGGTTTAAAAAGATTGGCCGACAAACCGTTGCAAAACGATAAAACATAAACAACATAATACAACATCGTTCTTTACCATGTTCACCGCGCCTTTCGGTAAAATCTATAGCTGAGGGGGTAAAAAGAGAAACAGCTCCTTTCGGTAGAATCCATAGCTGAGGGACTCGGACAATGCGATTAAAGAACATATGCTCGATTTAATTTTGAAGTCCGCGCAAAGTAACATGAATATTTATGAATATTTACTCTCTGACATCTGGTGTCGGTCAAACAAGTCGAGTTGCTTCTAGTGAACCGTGCCGTTCGAAACTACGACACCCAGCCCCAAAACATGGCAATATTTACAGTTTGATTCCGAGTTTCGGCAACAAAACCAAGATACATATTGTTTTTTACTCAACATTCGGTTAAACAATACCTTTTTCTACAGCACCTGCAGTAAACAATTCGAGCTGCAAGACCCAGGTAAACCGGTGAGATTATGTTGTTCGGATTTGTTCTGTTTGACCGCGGATTTCGGTCATTATTATCATTTATTATATATATATATTATATATATATATATATTCAACATTATTTAACACATACCAGGAACAACGGTAAAACAGTGGCATATTCGATCTTTACAGTGTCTATATATATATATCTTTTAACCGTGCCTTTGGCATTGGACCGGGGACCGACGGTTAAACAACTTTCCTATTTTTACCGCGGAAGTGCCTCGGGGGGAAGCCCGCCCGTCATCTGAGCAACAGCGCTAAACCAGTATAGAGGCAGATTTGAAGAATTTCAGGAGTTGTCATAAGTCCAGAACATTCAAGAACCAGGTGCCTGTGACTTACAAATACTTACGACATCTTACGACCACTTTGTGCAAACCTCCCAGGCTGTCCGTCTCCCACGCAGCGGCCTGAAGAGTCGAACGGCGCGCGCGGCGACACGGACTGGAGACTTCAAGGTCTTGGTCACACGGCCCTGGGCGCCGTCTGTCACGATGTCTTAAGCCGCTGCCCCAAAAGGAGCAGTTTCGCATGAAGCGAACTCTGACACAGCCGGCTCTTTTCTACATGGCATCATTTTGCAGGCCAAAAAATGTCTATGCCTCAGTCTGCTATTGATGCTATTGTCATTGGCATCGCTCGCGCCGGTTTGAGTGGGGATTTGGAAGACTGGGTTTTGATGGATCTCTTAAGTCTGGTGCGAAGAAACCGCACACAGCCTGCTTTTCCAGCATTTCCATTGGTCTTATTTGAGTTGTATTCAGTCCTTTGCTCCTTGTGGATGATTATAAACATAGACCCTTGTTTGGCCTCCTCTGCGGCTGGCACTGAAAGAGCTGACCTGGCGCAGTAGACAAGTTAATCTTCATTAAGTTCATGGTTTTACAGGCTTGCAAAGCCTTGCAAAGCCTTGCAAAACAGTTTAGTCAACAGTCAACAGAATTCGACCAAATTCCGAAACATGAACACATGTAGCAGGCTCCTTCACCGTAGTGTATCCTATCAAGCTCAGAGTTCTACAATGCTCCACTGATTCTACTGAGTCCCGTGGCAATGGTAGATAATCCAAACTTGGATATATTTGAGCTGGATGTTGTCTTAATGGAACCCCTTCTTTGTAACGAAAGGAGCTTTATGGATCTTTCTGGTCAAACAATGAGAAGGCCAAAACTAACATCTCCTGGTCCACCGGCGGTGCCTCTTCTCCTGATGCTGACGCTCCTGGTGCTCCTGGCGCTCCTGGCGCTCCTCAAAGCCCTTGAGCTGTGCGAGGCGGACATGATACCTGCGAAGGACAGGGAACATGATGTCAAATGCAGCTCCATCAAAAGCTTGTTCTTATGGGAAACCACCTCGCTCTCAAATGTCTTGACTCACCAAAGATGGCATTGCTGTCAAACATGCACAATCATTACAGTATATAACACACACCTCTTTTTCCGTGCCTGAGCATCATTGCCTTTGTTTCCAATGACACCATTCTTACCTTGGCACGAGCACTGGTGGACTAAGTGGTGTTTCTTTTCTCTGAAGCAGGAGTGGGCCAACTATAATATGACCAGAGTAGGTTCTGACTCATGGTGCCAATCATGTCAAAACCCACTTGTTTGGAACTTAATCGACAAAGTATCTGACAGGAAATTGTATTTCCACCTATCAAAAGCATGTCGAACATTTTGGCAACGTTGCGAGGTTCTCATCTGTCTCTTCACCAATAGAACTTCGGAGTGTCAGCCGCTCCAGCAACACCGGCATGACCTTGGATAGGTGCGAAGGAAATTGCTCTTCCCAAGAAACTCTTTGAGTGAAGGATCTTCGTCGTCGAAAAACCCTGACTGGATGTGTGACACTGCTCCAGTGCATCTGGGCGCTGATGCGTGGAGATATACTTGCTGGATCCACAACTTGAGGACAGTGGGGACGAAAGCGAGGGGTGTGGAAGGATCAAAGGGACGCGGAGGGAGGGCAGCAACGCAACGCTTTTGTGCCACGAGTGCAAAGTGTTGTTGGCTGAGTCAACCAAACACTAAAAAAAGCCTCGACTTTCATATTGTCTTTTCTAGGCATTTGGTATGCTTTCTCACAAGGACGAGGGAGGAGTCGAATAGCCTCTTTCAATTCACTTTACAGGGGGGGCCCCCCCTTTAAACGTTTCAATCTGCAATTGAACTATCAATTCCTTTGCGAGGGGGAGGGGTTATTGAAACAATCAATAAAAAGGGAGGGCCCCCCCCCTCGGCTGACCACTCCCTTTAATTGAAAGAATCAATTATTAGTTCACTGAACCTTTCAATTTTGAGCTTCACTATATTTCGTAAACAACAACTTCCGCTGAGCTCCTTCTGAGCTCGCTTTCGTGACAAAGCTATATGATGGAAGTGGGAAAAGTCGCACGTGCGTGGATTCCTCCCCAAGCAGTGGTATTTCCAGTTCCATGGTTGGGTCAGGATAGTTTGAGGTGTCTTGCTTTAGCAATCCAAGGGACACCAAACAGCATCAAGGGCCATTCCGCCCAGGCCAAGGCATAGAACAGGACACTGTGCCAATTGTCAAAGGAGACCGTCAAGTAGTAGAGCACCAAACACGTCACCTGTGAAAAAAGTGGACGTGGCCAATGCGCGGCAGCATCTTGACTCAATACTTCCCCTGAAATAGGTGTTGGGCGAAAAAGATACACACGTCTGAAACCGGGCATGGCATCATCTTAAAGTCTGCAGCTTGTGAGCCTGGATGGCCTGCCAGAATGCCAGCAGTTCAAACAAGAAGGCATACCTGCAAGCAAGATCAAACTTCAGATTCTACAAGTCGTCCACCGAATGATCTGTCTGTGGTCCAACCATGGTGGCGAACTGAGTCAATCTTAAACATAAACGATGTTGCCACATTCGCAAACACCCACTGAAAGAAACATCTTTGCAAAACAATGTGTGAGATTCTCCTGGATGTTGCGACAACATATTCATCCAAGAAGATCCAAGAGGTGCTTAAACTTAGTTCCTCCTCCCCAAAAGAGATGCTTTTGTTGAGCAAACTTATGTGTGTTTAAGTGCCCAGTTCGAACTCATCACCGTCACCTGGAAGACGTCAATCGCAAGCGCTTGGGATCGCTGACCGGGGGCTTGCCCAACTCGACCTGCGCCATCATCGGCTGCAGTGACCGTTCGTCGGCTTTCGAAAGGTCTCCAAATCGCCTACGCGCCATTGATACAAAAAATCAATCTCCTACAGAGCTGTAATCCAGTGAACATAAAGGGGTTACAAAAGGGCGGCAATTTCCATTGCAGCATGATGTATGACATACATAGTTGTCTGTATGTCTGTCTGTATGTCTGTCTCTGTCTGTCTCTCTCTCTGTCTCTGTCTCTGTCTCTGTCTCTGTCTGTCTGTCTCTGTCTGTCTTTCTCTGTCTGTCTGTCTGTCTGTCTTTCTCTGTCTGTCTGTCTTTCTCTGTCTGTCTGTCTTTCTCTGTCTGTCTGTCTTTCTCTGTCTGTCTCTCTTTCTCTGTCTGTCTCTCTTTCTCTGTCTGTCTCTCTTTCTCTGTCTGTCTCTCTTTCTCTGTCTGTCTGTATGTCTGCATGTCTGCATGTATGGATGTATGTATGTATGTATGTATGATGTGCTGCTCCAGTGGCCTCCTGAGCTTCTAAACCTTGCAGGCCGGGGGCGCCGAACTTGAGCTCAGCATTCAGGGTGGAGGCATCATACTGCTTCATGAGCATGTAAGTGCCTTACGACATCATGGGCTGGGAAGTCTATTGCTTTTTGGCTTTCTGGAATGTTAGGAGCTATTCCACTTGATTCACTTGCACTTGCTTGAGCTCCTCTGCTTTTCTCAGCAATATTGTTTCTTTTTTACCACGACTTCGGAGGATTTTGGAAGTCTCTCTTCTGATCTCCCTCTTCCAATACAAACTCTACCTCCTGCACCCTCCGAACCTTTAAAGTTGAGGCGCTTGTGCCAGAGAAGAGAATCAGTATTTTGCGTGCATCTGTTGGCAAGATGGGGGTGAGCCACAAGGTATCTGTCTCCAGGATGTGGCCGATCAGGACACCCATGGCCAACAAGAAGTAGGCGCTCAAACAAAGGAACTCTCCGACATGGAAGATGTCCATCGACACACAGCATAAGACTGAAGGCGTTAAGACCAACAAGGTCCTTAGCTAACTGAGATGGATGGCGACTTCGAGTTTTTGAAACACATATTGAGAAAAAACACAATGTGTGACCACGCAACGGAAGAATCCTGGTCGACTAATGTCATCTAAAAGGTTTGAGCATGCTTTAACATTAAAATACGTTAAACCTCGCCCTCAGAATGCACTTTGCAAGTTTGAACTCCAACCAAGCTTCATCAGCCAAATGTTCCGATCCACCTCCACGACGCAAACGACGATGTGACCCAAGCGTTCACGAAGATAGGACTCAAAACTAAACTGCCGTGGGCATGAAATCTGTCCACTCTTCACCTGCGACTGGGGATCACCGGGTCTCTTTGATGACTGGACATCAAAAACGCAACAGCAAAAGGTTTGTTGGGCTCAGGACAGTTCTACACTTGACATCCAGTCAGATTGTAGTCAGCTGTTTTCAGAATCCAAGGAGTACCATCAGTCTTCTGTGGAGATGACCGGTGTTCTGGACAACCAACTCTGTCGTAAAAATCGACGATCTGACATTTGGGAAGGTATCTGTGATTATCTATGTAGGTCTCTACCTGTATGAAATAAATACATGGCCCATGGCCGCAAAAAGTCCACTTCCGCCTCTGACCGTCGACCAAAAATGAACTGATGGCGGATGGCTCTCCACATCACCAAATTATGAAGCAAGTCCTCCAAAGCTGGAAGATCTCCAAATCCCTAGTTTCTTTTTTAAGCGCTTCTTTTTGTAAGCAAGGGAGAGGTAGCTAGTAGTTTAAGTAGCTACATAGGACGCAGGATAGCTCACGCTTCAAGGAAGCTCCCCCGCCGGAGCTTCCTTGAAGAAGCGCTCACACTATTATTCATTTGGTTCCTAGAATTTAAGGGAAACTTAACTATTAGACCTTTCTTCACCTAGCTACAGCAGCTGGACATGAGACATATCACCATAATTCCATTGATCTGAAGAAGCATTCCCTTAAATTCAAGAGCCATTCAAAGACCAAATGCACATAGTCACACATACATGCAATTATTAAAATATGTGACATGTGAATCTTTCATGTAAATCCACAACAAAGCTTCGTGCAGCAGTCCTGTAGCCTTGCAAACATTTCAATTCGTTGACCATGTCATTTCGCTTCTTTCAAACGAGCCAAACAACACGGTTGGACTCAGTCGGTCATGGTGAAGCATCATCCATTGCAAGAAGGGCTCTTGGTAGGTGAAGTCCTCTCGGAATTTCAGCTCCAAACCTCCAGGTCGACGACAGGCCACACACGTTTTGCGAGATTTGAACATCCGAAGTTACGGACATGGACTGATCTATTTTTACCCCAAATTGTCAACCCACCTGGCATGTTTTGAAAAAAATGCTGACAAATGCTTCTTGAATTGAACGGTTGCGATCTGGATTGTTGGCTTCAAAGGAACGGATACATTAATCAGCAGTCTTGCAAACCTCATGGCTTGAGTCCGCATCAATCAGTCCGGCTGATTATTAGGAAAACCATGGAACAATATGGAACATAAACTGATGATGTGGTGACACGGCTGAAGTTTCTGATTTCAGTGTTGCTTCCACCATGTTCGCCTTTCGACATGCGTCAACCTGTTTCCGTCGAGCCCTCAGCCCTCTCCCTGATGTGAGAGTCGCCTCGGGGTGCGGTCTTTGAAGCCACCCGCTCCAAGTAGCCCCCATCGCAAAAGAGAGACTCCAAGGAGTCCTAGAAGACTTGGGTGCAGTGAGTCTGAGGCAAGGAAGACCGTCAAAGCCATCGGAAGACCTGCCCTTGAGCTTTTTCTAAAGGGTCCAAAAAAACACGGGGTCAGCCATTGCCGGTTTCGGAACAGGTGAGCGGCCAGTTCACCTGGTCGAAAACCCCCTCAATACTGGATTGATGCTCATCCCCGCTGTCCACCATCCATAGCTGGGGGTGCCATGGCCGTAGCTCCATGTGAACTGGAAGGAACCCATGTGAGTAGTAACAAGAAGCTAGTAGTAACAAGTGCATCGCTACTAGTAACAAGTGCCTTACTAGTATAGTAACAAGAACGCTACTAGTAACAAGTGCATGACTTTAACACCCACAGTGACCCCCGTGACCGCACCGTGCCGATCCGTGCCGATCCGCCACACACGTCCCGAGCGCCCCGGGAATCGCCTGGCGCAGCCCCCAGGAGCGACACCGCTCGTAGCGGCCCCAGGTCTCGATCACCCCCTGCGTCACACGCAGCATGGCCATGGCCTCGTCGAAGTGAACTTGGAGAATTTCGGGAAGGTCTGTTTCTTTTTGGTAAGGTCATGTAAGGTCTGTTTCTTTCCATGTATTTCACACACTGCTCTCCTATGCTCTGCTCATGTTCAGGCCTGGAAAAGAAGAACTGCCATCAGCAGGAAAATCATCATGTGGACCTTGCGAGCTTTCTGGACAGCTCCCAATACACCACCAGGTTTAGATATACAAAATAGAAGAATGACTAAGCATAATTATATAAAGCTGATTAACGCTCGTCATGCACAAACTCCAAACTGCGGCTCTTGATGTGCAAATGCCGTTAGACCCATCTGTCTTGAAGAGTTTCTCAATCGCAAACTGGACTTCTTGTTACTAGTAGTTAGGAGGACCTGGTACTGACTGGCCAAATGAATCCAAATGAAACATGTTTGCACCCCGCTCGAGTGACCATGGATCTCATGTGCAGCCGTCGGGCGGTTTCGAAGGATTCAGCAATTGGGTCTTCAGTGCCCATCTTATCCAAATGATGTCCAAAAACCTTCTTGCCCAAGACATCAGCAGTGATGTGGCTCTGTGTCACCAGGAAAAGGAACATGCCTGCCCAACAGGTTGGCATTTTCAGCTTCCAACTGGCTTCTGTGGCTGGCTGGTTTGAACTCGCAAGAAGACTCCCTAGCCTGCAACTGGTTTTGTAGGCTCAAAACACAGGTGATACTTCAGAGCATCCACGTCTCCTTTCATCCTCCCGAGCAGGTGCCTATGAAGCCCAATCCAGAGAACTCCCTGAAAAGGACATCCATAATTTGCCTGAACAGCAGTCTTCCAATATGGATCATCGCTAATGTCGCTGAACGTTCGATAAGTATAGGCATGACAAATCAAACAATGTCAAATATGCAAGCTACCTTGCACCAGGCAAAGGTGCAAGCTACCTTGCACCTTGATCTCATCATATCAGATATCTGGTCCAGGGTGGAAGAAAACAAAACAAAAAACACACACGAAAGAAACTGTCGACTCACAGCTTCTAATTGACTCAAGACCAGGCACATTCCCACTTTGTCGCCCGAGTGGTCCAAGTGCTCTCTGACCCAATGCTGTAGCTGCTCAAAGAGGGCGCCCAAAACCACCACTGTACTGATCTCTGCCTTGCATATCTGCACTAAAACTCCATGAGAAGCAAATCAAAGAGAACGTCCACACATCTGTTGAACTGTTTTTCCTGCGTCATCCCCTAAGAATCCCCTCTCAATTCACCTTGACATAATTTTGCATATTTTTTCCAGTACACTTGCCAAACCTGCATCCTCATATTTGGTATTTTCTGATAGCACGAGCCACTTGAGGAGCTGACGAAGAGAAGCCATGGGCACAGTCTTACTTCGTCGACAAACTCCTGTCGATCGCTGGAAAAAAAGACCAAGGGCGGTCGCCGGTCGCCGACCCCAACATCTTGTAAGCAAGCCAGTGTTGCGAGGATGACATTGTCATGAATCTTTGAGCAACATCATAATCCTGATCTATTGTCTATGAAGATATTGACAAACCCTTTTCGACTTACAAGTACCGCCAATAAGATGTCACTTTCAGCAAGGTGCCGCGTTTTAGCTGGAACACTCCTTGCAACAAATGAAGATGACAAAGAATATCAGCTTTAGTATGACGCATCAAGTCCCACGTGAAAATCGACAGTATTTATTCAATGTTCTCAAAAGATGCTACCAACAATCAGGGGCCCTGTGCGCCCACAACGGTGTGTCCGTTGCGTGTCCCACAAGGGTGTACGGCTTCTCCGCTCGGATGTCCAGCCTCAAAAATGGACTCCTCGTGCTGCCCATCTGTCGGTGTCGCGGAGTCGACTCCGTCAAATCCAACGAATCCAAGGCCATTCTGGAGAATGTTTTACCATATCTTACCACTTCCGGGCGCTTTAGTTCTTTTGGACAGTTTCAGCGCAGCTCTCCGCAATAGTTGGCCTGGAGTATGATGAGGCTCCTGACCAGGGAGGGAGTTGATGCGATTTTTCTCGACCATATGGCCATAGGGACAATATCATAATTGAAGAGCACCTTGCCTTTGAGCAGTGAAAATATAGGGTAGGGAACTTGGACAGACCGCACATTTTAATGACTGTCCTTGAACCGAGTTAATTCTTGCATCCTTTCGATGAAGCATTGTCAACGGAATTGGACAGAACCACAACGTTCTGCACGTGAACCCATGGCAAACGAGAGTGAAGAACATGACGGTGAGGTAACTTGTCTCAACATTGAAAGGGAACGTGGTACCCTTCGGGAATTGGAAGGGATGCTTGATGTGAAGACGACCCCCACTTCATGACAAACAAAACCAAAAGGATTATATACAGTAGCCCAAACTAACTCCTGCCCCAATCTCAGAAGCCTCTTTCTAAATATAGACAGCTCAGTAAGAATTTCAACTGAAAATACCTATCAACAATCTATTGCACTTGCTGTCAAGCTACAGATCCACATTGATGTATTTGTTTGCAAGCAAGTACACGTATACATCAATGATATACATCATGAAGATGTACATATATATATACACATACACACATATCATGTTATATCATTATGATTCATTATGTATTTCAAAGGTGAGTGACAATACACACACACACACCATTCCAAAAGACCTCCTACCTACATATGCCATGGCTTTTGCCATGGCTTTTGCCATCAGCAACACTTCTTGAATTGCAACAAATACGCACTGAAGACCAGTCATTTGCCCGACATTGATGCATGCGGCTCCGACTGCTGGGCTACCTCGTCGTACCTGCGTCGAAAAACCTTGCGGCCTCTGCGGGCGGCGGAGGCTGGGGCTCATGGTGCGGCTTTGGCCTCTCGCTTTGGCGAACGACCCCGCTGGCCCAAAGAAAACGATCCCGGACGACCCCCACGTCATTCCGTTCAAGATATTCCACGAAATCCAAGGAATGTAGCAGCGATTTTCCCAGCAACTCTGAGCGACCCCACCACCATTTCCAGCCAGATTTCACCTGCGGCCGGCGCTTCGGTCCGTGATTTCCAGAGCGATCGTCCAGCTGCAAGGTGTTGTGTTGTACTTGTACTTGTGAAAACAGCTTGTTGACTGTTGACTTCAACTTGCATCACTCGTTTTTGTCTCATCTATCAATCTCGAAGAGCCGCTTTGTCAAACAACTCGTTTTTTGTATCATCTGGAATGTGGGCAAACATGTCGACCTACTCAAAATAATCCTGCACACATGCGCACCCCTAGAAGAGCTCCATGGCCAGCTTGGCCTGCTTTCGGGCGCGGGCTACTCAGGCCAACGGAGTTGGTGGATTGCAAACAGAATTGCAAAGGGACTCTTCCAAGGGACACAACATGAGATGCAGGGGGAGCTCCAATGGTCATGCTTCTCGGGAGTCTTTCAGATCTTCATGAAACGGCACGACAACGGCAGCTGAGGAACCGTGCTTAGCTGTCTAAAGAGAAACGCTAGGATCAATACCTCAAGTCGTCGGACATGATCTTCTCTTCCTTCCTCGCACTCGAACATTCTCATGCCTGTACGGTCTAGTATGGTACACATTCCAATTAGAGACAAATCCAAAAACAATATTATGTTATGAAATGAATAATCATGAAACATCTATGAAACTCTAAACTCTGAAGAAGAACCCTCGTCCAAAAGGCACTCCTTTCGATGCACCACCCAGTTCCTGAGGCTCCTAGCTTTCGTGAGATTCCGGCATCGCACCATGAGGCATCAGGTAGGCTTTGATGTGACAGCTAGGTCCTCTGTAGGACGCTACTAGTAGCTCCTGGCATCGCTATATAAATGTTTAACAAGGGAACTTCAGTCCATGCTACACAATCACTGTTGCTATGCCCAGAAAAACCCTCGTCCGAGCCGAGTCACTGGATAAAGCTACATTCTGTCAGTTGTCGAGTCGCTAGGTGCTTGCGCCTGCCTGTGCAAAGCGCCCACATCTGTGGATAAACATATCTATTATCTATTGGATTCTTTTGGATGTGTTTTGTGCCTGCTTTTGGACCCCGGTTTTCTCCAAGATGAATCGGGAGGTGGTTGTTGAAAGCCATTCATCATAGGTTAACGTAGCCGAATTTTCTTTGAGGATTTCTCCCTTCTCGTTGAAGGTTCAGCTTCAAGCCAACACCATCGGCACATCTGCTGTGAGCTGCCAAAACATCGCTGCTCCAATTGATTCAAGCAAAATCCCAAACGCATGCTTCCCACACCAAGAATGGACACAACTAACAGGGAGGAACATCATGGAAAATCTGTGATTCCAGTCACCTCATCAATTGGAATGAACATCCATGATCCCTTCTCCAAAGCAATTCAACCTTCCAGTTCCAACCAGCTGCCGCGCTTTTTGGTCTCCGGCTTTCTTCACGGAGTGGCGACCTACAGCGGCACCAGATTGGGCTGCCTGGGCCAAGGAACTGCGAAAGTCGGAAGTTGCCAAGTTTCTCTCCAAATGCTCCCAAAAGGTGACAGGGAAGGACTCGAGACGACCCAAAATTCATGTGAATGCCGTGATGGATCAGTGTCATGGATACAGCATTCAGCAAGATGCGCGTGGCCACGCCAGATGTTCTGTACTCGAAAGCACGAAACAAAGTTCCTGGCCCGCTTCGCACAGATCGGTGACGTTGACCTGAGATTGCGGGAGCAAGGACGCTACTAGGGGCAGAGGGCATTGCTACTAGGAGCAAGGTTGCTACGAACGGGGCTCCTGGCTTGTTCGCACTGTCGAAACTTCGAGTTGATTTGACTCAGCTCCACACCTCTAAAAGCTTTCGGAGATGGCCGGCGAATGCGCCCTATCTCATCGCCCCGTTCACCTTCATGCTCCACCAGTGCCTTAAACTGGCCTGTCAGACTGGGACTTCCAACAGGGTGCCATTTTCCAGGGTTCCCATCGCGCGAAGCGTCCAACGAAGCATGCTCGGATGTTCCCCATAAACCAGTGAATTGTCTGACAGCTTCCAATTTATCCTTCCAGTCACCCTCAAACCACTTGGCTCAAGTCGCAACTGGAAGGGGGTAATTAATGGGATGGCAACTGGCTTGAATCTCTTTGTACGAGTAGATTTCCAGAGCTGCAGGTGAGTCGTCTCTAGGGCTTAGCATTCAATGGCGAGACGTAGCTGGTTGTCAAGCTTCCTTGATGCATTGTAAGCAATGAACTATGAAATCCAATGCACAGCGTTGCCACCAAGCCAGCAACAGGTTTCTCCTAATGGATACCACCAAAGAAAACACCAAATCAAGTTTCAATCAAAACAAAAGAGCCGTGTGACAATGAAACTGAAACACATGTCAAGTGGCAACTGCTCAAATTCGGACGTCTTAAAAGAGCACCTACGAACCTCTGCATCCTGTGGGTTGCTCTCACACTATAATACCAAAGAGCTTGTTATGAGTTTTCACTTATGGGTCGCATTTGGGGATGGCCATGAGTCATGCAGGAAGCAGGGTTCAGCTCAAATGTCCAAACACACCTTGGGTTGTCCATTGCTGAGGAGATGTGGCTTGACTCGGAGAGGAAACTCTTTCAGCGTGCTCCCACAGACAACCCAAGATGGCATGCACATGCCAGCAAGTCAAAAAATGCTTCGTCTGGACAAAACCCCAATGGGCTTGGCGGAGCAATTCGATAGATTTGCCAGCCAACGGGGACATGCAAATCCTGCCAATGTCTGGACTGGATCCATATTCTTGTTTGGCTTGAGGCGAAGCGAGTTTGAGTCTAGGCTTCTCATGCTTCTCTTCCCCATGGTTTTCTTGAACTGCCATAAAGCCTAGGCGACATTGGACCGGCCCCGACCATGTGCGAGCGCGGCGTTTTTGCTCACTCGCTGTGCGCAGCTATGCGCAACTCTTCTCAGAACGAGAGGCTCGAGTGGTTCCATCGACCAGTCCGGGTGCCACACAAAGAGACATGGCCTGGCGTTCGGATGAGTGAAAACCGCGATGTCTGCGATGGCACGTGGGTCTGTCAAGACTTGGCCGGTTGGACCGTCCGCGGCGTTGGGAGGTCAGGAACACGTCCCTGGAACCGTGCAACGAATCTCTTCCGGAAATCCTTTTCTTATCCAATTTATTTCCTTTTAAGGGTGTTCAGCATCTTTCGGGGCTGACTGGACGTGTCCTGGTATCACCTAAGCAGTTTTGGATGGTTTTGATAATACTGGCATTTCTGCTTCATGGAGTATTGAGAGTTTCATCTGTTCAATTGGACTTCCTGAGTGCCTCCTTCGACCATCGCCAGTCAGCCACCTGTCACGGATTTCACAAAACCGGTTGATGACTTCAGCGTTGACCAGGAACTTCGCAACAAATTGCTTATGGGACACCTGACCAACCTGTTGACTCAACTGGCAGCCAACAAAAAATCATGCAATCATTCATCCCGGCAAGCTATCCTCCTTTCTTTCTCTTCTTCACAAAGTATAAAGCAAAGTCAAGGTTTCGTTCTTAGGCTCCGTCGTCGTAGACCAGTACGGTGGCAAACTGCCTCAGTCACAAACCAACGTCCTGGCCCCTTTTGCCCTCTTGGACTTGGTCTCTCGTGTCAAACGCCACAATGGTATTTGATTCCACAAACGCCAGAATGCCTCAGCCTGCGAAGACCTAGTTACATGATGTTACATGCTCCCCTACGCACCTTTTTGAAGCTTGGGATCCTGATTGACATCTTGAAGATGCGCCAAATGGATGCCAATGTGAGTGATTGAGTGACGCTTGGTAGGCACATGAGACATCATTAGACCATGAATGAATGGTGTACCTCGTCACAAATTTGGGCACTTCGTGCCACGTCGTGCCACTTCGTGCAGTTTGATGGTAGCTGCTAGCTCCAGAAATATCAGAAATGGCCGATCGACTAATCAAATTTGAGCACTTAGGTGTCAAACCGAGTGATGCGTTCGGGCTCATCATCGGTCCCGTCTTCACCACCCACAACCAGCACGCACCTTGGCTCTGGCAGCTGTGTTAACTCGAAAAAAGGTTGCTTGCCCTGGCCATCAAAAGACACCTCGCTTGCCAAGATTCTCAATTCTTTGATTCCCTTCATTATAAGCCCAAAGACTCACGGCATACTTATCATTTTGTGGAAATGGTGGAAACACGGCAACTTTGGACTCCTTTCGACGTGGACATTTACACAAGCAGGTCGGAATAAGTTGAAGACTGTCTGTCACCTGGGCGCATCAAACATGCCGTGCCGTCGCCTGACCGTCTTAGAACAGTCTATCACCCTCGCTGACGCTGGAACTGACGCTGGAAAGTCCCAACCACCACATCACGCATCAACTGTTCGGCGAACTTTTCGTAGTGCAAAATCACTGTTGGGTGATAGCCTCATCTTTAGATCATAACCAGCCTTCTGGGGGCACACAAACTTCCGCATACCATTTGTTTGGTCGTTTTGCCTACGGGCCTCAGTTCGAAGGCATCAGTCTGCTCTCGAATGAACTTGTGGTCAAACCTCCGTAGCCTAAGCACTTGGCACACTGGAAAGGTCTTCCCAGGAGATGGCAAGTGGAGGCAAGCTGCCTGGCGATGCTCCAGATCCGTATCACATCGTACAGAGTCCAAACATGGCAATGGCTCCAAAATAGAGCCCTCCAGACGCACTGGCAGAGTAAGAAACAACTCAAACCAACTGGTTCCAGGGTCTTTTTGCCACATTCACATGTCAAAGCGCTCCTTTAGTTCTCTCTCTCAATGGTCCTTCTTGCTGACCAACTGCTTGTGACGTAGGTTGAGCGAAACGGATAGCTGCTGAAACGTCCAGAACATCAATTCTTTTGCTACTGGTATATTCCTGAATATATATATATATATGTAACTCTCTATATATATATATATATGTATAAACAACAAAATACATATGGATCCTCTTGCGCGATGAAACAACCAAGGAGGTACCCAGTTCCACTCATTTGCTGTGCCTGGCAGCCCATCCTTCCTTCGGTCAAGCTCACCACATGACGGGTATCGATGTCACGGCCTGTGCAGGTCGTGCAAGTCCTTAAAAAAGGCTCCGTGAAAGGATACAACATGATACAAACCCATGAATATGATCATGAAGATCTACTTGGAATTAGAAGTCTGGGGAAAGCAAACTTCTCAAGTACCCATAGTACCAATTGGGTCATGGGGTCATGCAAACTTTGAGTAACTCTCCAGTGCATCGAATTCTTAATGCATTCTTGCTAAAGCAAGAAGGTCTCAAAGCATAAGTAGCCGAAGCATGCTGAAGCTAGCTTTTAACATCTTTTGACATCTACAGGTCTGTCCAGTTCATTCCCATCCCCCGATGCCCAACAGCCTTCATTTGGAGATTTACCAAACCTGAGACCGACGTTGCCGAGGCACCGCGAGGCGCCGTGAGGCCCGCGTGAAAGAACACATGTCGCTGTCTGATCTGTAAATAGCATTTCGAAGAGCTTAAGATCGAATCGGTCTTTTTGGCTCCCCTCTGGTGAAACCTCTTTTGACCATAGAACAGAATACATGTGCAAAGCAAAGCAACCTTGAACAAACAAACAGTAGCATGGTGTCTTGAACAACCATCTCATCTTCTCGTCACCACTGCATCTTGGCCCCCCAAACACGGAGAACAGCTCCGCAGAGCAAAGGGCTGGCGCCCCGCCTCGATTTTCACCAGCTTGGTGGGTAGAAAGAGATTGTCAAAGCAGCAGAACGCGCTTGGTGGCCGTTGGAGGCGGCCTAGGCGGCCTAGGGGTTCCCATTCTCACCTCACTGGATAGACTAAAACCCCAAGTCTGAGTTCCCGGCCCATCACGAAAACAAAGTTATCATCAAGTGCAGCCACCGCTGCAGTGGTGCCTTGACACCATGCAGCAGTGCATTCCACAAACAATTCGGGCCGCTTCTCCGTTTGCTATAAAATGCACACACACACACATATATATATACATACATTTTGAGGGAACAACTCAAACATTTTGCTGAGGAATGTCCAACACCTCACCCTACTCCACTACTGGAAGTGCCTTCGAACGATCACCTGCGGCCCCGCGCGAGGCACCCTCAACTGAGAGTTCAAGAGCACCTGGGCGGTGGGAAAAGATGCAAAACCACCAGGATTCTCTGGAGGGTGCTGGACGTCCCTGGAGCCTGACCGCTAGTTCTCACATCTGATCACCAAATCTTTTGGCGCAGGAAAGTGGGGCCTGGACACTTCCTTTCTCATGTTTTGCTTCGCTCAAAAACCTGTAAACAGCAAAACCGACCGAAATTGAGATTCACACCCAGCTGCCCTGATGAACATTCACCAGCTCAACGGTGTCCAGCATTTGAGCATGACCTTGAGCTAGGACCGGACATTTCTTGGCGGGTTGTGCGCTTTCAGTCTCAACCACTTCTGAAGAGAACCAGTTAAAGGCCACCGCTGCAGCGGATGTAACATTGTTGGGACCAGGAAGGTTTTGTGGAGTAACTGTGCAAAGGATTTCAAACATGGGGCAAAGTTTGAGACGGGTGTGTTTCTTTGATATTGTTGGCCCAGGAAGACCAGCTTTTCTTTCTTTCAGTCTATGTCCACTTTTCCGTAGTCGAAATCAGGGTCATGTAGAGTCGAGTTCACAACCCGAGACATTCCTTGAAGACATGCCTTCTAACATCTTCCAACTGAGCCACAGGGCCAAACACATCTTCACAGCCACCCACAGCGGCTAAGTGTCTTTCATCCACGGCCACCACCTGATGATTTGTCACAAGCATTTGCTGCCGGCATCGTCACAACCGTCTAGCGGATCCATCTATCCAACTTTCAGAGATCTGAGACCATCTGCTCTCACTTCGCCGACCTTTGCAAACGGCAACAAATGATCCTTCAGAGATGACATGGGGTCTGAGTCACAATGGTGTCAAACACTTCTACTTCGATGCAAGATAGCTAACTGTGGCCGTGCCCGGTCTCTGGGCGTTGCGAATTTCGGCCCAAGAAACGCGCGCTCCAGCCCGAGCGATTCTCAGGGCAGGAAACCTAGGGGCACGCTGTAAGTCTGTGCAGCAACAAATTACAGTATATACATCGATATATAAGTCTGTGTTCAAGGTCTCCCTTCACAAGCTCAACAAAGCACAAGCTAGATAGCTTTGCGGTGATGTTCAGGCCCCAATGGGCTCATCTTTTATTCGAAGGCAAGGGACGAATGCCATTTCTCGGTCCTTGGGTCGTAAGATTCGCAGTTTCGAAGAGTCTCCATGTGGTCCTGCGAAGGCCGACGCCGCTGTGTCTTGGGACGCTCTGTTTTTACTTTGCGACGAAGAAAACGGACGAGGACGGAGTGCAGGTGAAGTCGACATTGACACGACTTCCTCGAATGGAACGATATGAATACAGTGCGCTGACAAACATGCAAACTCAGACTCGCATGCATACTTTGTGTACTTGAGCCAGGGCCATACCCTTCTGCCAACATGATCAATGACCAGATGCACCTCCAAAGAGGAGTCATCCGGGGTACAACCACCAACACCTGGGCATCAAGGAGTTTGAGACGTTGTTTTGTTTTGTTTTTCGGTCTTCTTCTCATCGGAGGTCAAAAACAAAGCTGGTCCAAAGGGTCCGTTCAAGGGAACTGAGATTGTGCAAGCTTTGAAACTCTGAACATGGGCAACTGATCCAGGCCGAACCAATTATCGATAGTGCCGATACAACAGTGCGATTGCTAAGATGTTCAGTTAGGTTGGAGGCCATCGCTATTAGGTTCTATTCGGTTGGAGTGAGACCATATACTTTTATTTAGTTGCTCTTTTCTTGCCAAGATGCAAAAGACTCGTCCTGCAAGAAAGGCGCAACCATGGCCCCAGCGGGCCTTTTGCCTGGTGGGCCAAGAGGATTTGCTCGAAGACTTCGCACTTCGAACAGCTTCTTGAAATTCTGATTTCACCACTTGATGACTTCATATGACCCAATGACCGCCGACCTACAAACATCGTTGAGTCAAATCTCAAACAACGTCCAAAACTGTACAGGGCTAGTGACTAGTGTGCTTTTTAGGATGGAATCATGGCTCTCATTTCACGGCTCAACAGTTGAACGCCACAATCATGGCGGAGTGGCAATCGCGCCTCAATGTTTGGCAATGTGTTTTTTTGCAAATTGAACAGTTTCACATGACATGACCCCTTTTTGGCCTGGCTGGTGGCGTACCTTGAACACTACCAGGCCATACGAGGACCATACACAAAGGATGGGTACTCATCCTCAACAGCTTGGAGTTCAGACTTGAAAAACCCATCCAGGAACTGTTTGAGGACAGGACTAACATGGTCTAACCTACAAACCCATCAAACCTGTAAGCATACGGATGCATACCTCTTCGGGTATCCCGATGTACCCGTAGAGTGCACCTACCCCATCACACGTGGCCAACTCAAGAGCCGCACTTTGCCCATGCGCCACTCTTGCTTGGCCGGATCAAAGATCTGCAGGATGGGACAGGCTGAGAGCTGGTGCTCCCAGAAATCTGTGCCCACACCAAAAAATAGAGTAAGTGGTGGAGTAAAGCAGGCAGGCGACAAGCAGGCAATGTCACAGCTTCTGTCGAATATCAACTGTGTTAATGTGGGAGCGGTCCTCGCAAGAGTCTAAGACTCCAGAGATGATGCCCCTCTCATCGTACCTGACGACCGCACATCGCTCAAATTACAGTGCTCATCACCAAGGCAAGAAGATGTCTCGTACCGTTCCACTACAGGTTCACCCAAATCTCACACCACCATGGATTTCTGTGTCATTACTACATTCATTCATGTTCAGTCATTTTCATACTATATGAATAATATACTATAAATATTGCATTATATGGTATCTTATATATCAAATATACCAGGAACACCACCCCTTAGCTTTTTCCCGAATGCGTAGCGAAGGGTTCTCGTTTAACTCTTGGGGGTCTGGGGGTGGAGCCTTGTTCGCGACCCGTTGTTTCTATGTTCGCAACCGTCCGCAACCGTTCGCAACCGTCCGCGGTAGAGCGCTAAGGCGCTGCCATTGGGGGAAGCTTTTGCAAGTGACCAGGCATGGATGTGTCACGTGTCAGTTTGCGACGCTATTCCATTGTGATTTGCATGAAAATGACATGTCGCGCAAGAAACGTGATGCATTTCGCTGCACAGGCGCAGCGTTTTGTGAGATCCTCAGTTTGCTACGCAGTTCCATTGGGATTAGCGTTTGGAGAGTCGTGTTTTTGGGGTGTTGGATGTGGCCGTGCCATTGGGATTTGCGTTTCAGGGTGTGGCATCGAAGCTCTGTTTTCGTGACCAGTCTCAGCTGAAATGGCGATTTTGGTGGATGGGAGTGTGCTCAGAATGGGTCGAAATCATTCCAAACGTGTGGTGTGGTGCAAATTTTGTTGAAGCTGACATGAGATGATATTGCCACTTTTCGTGGCAGGCGCAGTACTTTTTGTGGGTTTTGAGGCGTGGAAGTGCGATTCTCGTGGCAGGCGCAGGGAATGGTGAGGTTGCGAGGTGTGACGGAGGTGACATTTCGTGGCAGGCGCAGTACTTTGTGCGCGTTAGACGTGTGGATGCGGAAAGATTCGTGGCAGGCGCAGGGAATCGTGAGGTTGTGAGTTGTGGTAGAGGTGAATGTCGCTGTCACATTGGGATTGGCGTGTGAGCGGATGTTGTTTGGAGGGGCTGGAATCGCGAAACTGCTTGGCAGGGCTGCGTGATGTGTGTGCTCCGATGGGTGTTTCCGCTGGACTTTTGGAGGAAGTCTCGTGCGAAACGTTCGTTTTGCAGACTTTGACATGTGAGTTTTTGAGGAAGTCTCGTACGAAACGCTCGTTTTGGGGACTTGACATGTGACTTTTGGAGGAAGTCTCGTACGAAACGCTCGTTTTTGAGACTTGACGTGTGACTTTTGGAGGAAGTCTCGTACAAAACGCTCGTTTTTGAGACTTGACGCGTGACTTTTGGAGGAAGTCTCGTACGAAACGCTCGTCTTGCAGCCTCGCAGCGCGACTTGTGGAGGAAGTCTCGTACGAAGAGTGTGCCCTACAGGAATGTCCCACAAGAGTGTCCTACAAGAGTGTCCCACAAGAGTGTCCTACAAGAGTATCCCACAAGAGTTTCCTACAAGAGTGTCCCACAAGAGTGTCCCACAAGAGTGTCCCACAAGAGTCTCCTACAAGAGTGTCCCGCAAGAGTGTCCCACAAGAGTGTCCCGTATGAGTGTCCCACAAGAGTGTCCCGCATGTCCCACAAGAGTGTCCTACAAGAGTGTCCCACAAGAGTGTCCCGTATGAGTGTCCCACAAGAGTGTCCCACAAGAGTGTCCCACAAGTGTGTCCCACAAGAGTGTCCCACAAGAGTGTCCTACAAGAGTGTCCTGTAAGAGTGTCCTACAAGAGTGTCCCACAAGAGTGTCCTACAAGAGTATCAAACAAGGGTTTCCTACAAGAGTGTCTTATAAGAGTGTCCCACAAGAGTGTCCCACAAGAGTGTCTTACAAGAGTGTCCCACCAGAGTGTCCCGCAAGAGTGTCCCAAATGAGTGTCCCACAGGAGTGTCCCACAAGAGTGTCCCGCAACAGTGTCCCGCAACAGTGTCTCACAAGAGTGTCCCTTAAGAGTGTCCCACAAGAGTATCCCACAAGAGTGCCCTACAAGAGTGTCCCACAAGAGTGTCCTACAAGAGTATCCCACAAGAGTGTCCTACAAGAGTATCAAACACGGGTTTCCTACAAGAGTGTCTTATAAGAGTGTCCCACAAGAGTGCCCTACAAGAGTGTCCCACAAGAGTGTCCTACAAGAGTGTCCCACAAGAGTTTCCTACAAGAGTGTCCCAGAAGAGTGTCCCACCACAAGAGTGTCCCACGAGAGTGTCCCACAAGAGTGTCCTGCAAGAGTGTCCCACAAGAGTGTCCCACAAGAGTGCCCCAAATGAGTGTCCCACGGGAGTGTCCCACAAGAGTGTCCCGCAACAGTGTCCCGCAAGAGTGTCTCACAAGAGTGTCCCTTAAGAGTGTCCCACAAGAGTGTCCCACAAGAGTGTCCCGCAAGAGTGTCCCAAATGAGTGTCCCACAGGAGTGTCCCACGAGAGTGTCCCGCAACAGTGCCCCGCAAGAGTGTCCTACAAGAGTGTCCCTTAAGAGTGTCCCACAAGAGTGTCCCTTAAGAGTGTCCCACAAGAGTGTCCCGCAACAGTGTCCCACAAGAGTGTCCTACAGGAGTATCCCACAAGAGTGTCCTAAGAGTGTCCCACAAGAGTTTCCTACTAGAGTGTCCCACAAGAGTGTCCCACAAGAGTGTCCCACAAGAGTGTCCCGTAAGAGTGTCCCACAAGAGTGACCCACAAGAGTGTCCCACAAGAGTGTCCTACAAGAGTCTCATTTGGACATATGTAGCTTTTTGAAGGTGTTTGCATTCGGGTTCGTGGGCTCCATCTTGTTTCATGTGGGTAGGATCCAATTCACAGGGTGAGTCAAGATTTAGTGGCTTTTTCCATGTGGAGCCAAAACAAGTCACAGGGACCCCAACCCATACCACCTCAGGGTGCGAGGTGAACACATGTGGTATACCCATGGTTCGCAACCTCTAGGGCAGTTGAATGACCCAGCAGTTCACATCCCTTACAAAGGAGAAATCTCTCATGAGAAGATCTTGGGATTGAGGTACGGTATGTTCAAAGGGTTGTGTCCATTGGGCACCCCTTATCAAGCATGTAAACCCAAAAGTCCTTGGGCACCCTTCGGACAGTGGAGCCATGGCAAACAGAGGAAGAGCTCAAGTCCGATCTCAGGGAAATTTGTCGGCGCATCAGGTCTTTGGATACATTGGAAGGTGGTTAATTTCAGTTGAACTGGTGTGATAAGGAAACTCGCCAATGCTATGATTGGAAGATTGGGCCCGCAGTATGTCCTCAAGAACGATGAACTGCTACCTGGTGCGGACATCAGGATTAAAGCAAATGCGCGTTCGTTCTGCCTTCACGGACGCCAAGCTACCGGTTGTACCACGAGAGCTACGTGCCCGTGAAGCAGTGGCGTGGCTGGCGCGTAAGAGAATGGACCGTGCTAAGGGGCCTAGGTTTCCCTGAGCTGCTTAGGGTCTTGACCCAGAAAGATCTTTTTTTGGAACCACCGTCAGGTATGGGGAAGGGTGCACCTACTCTCCAAGATTGGATTGTTGAACAGGTCTCTTCATCTAACAATTGAACAGTGCTTCCATCTTGTGTTTTGCGATTGTAGACCAGAGAGCAATTAATGCGTCGTATGCAATTTTGCGTTATATAGTCTCCTAGTCTTCTGAAGCTGCTCTTCTGCTCCACTTAGGCCGTCTTTCAATGACATAGCTAAGCACTGAACGCGACCGCGGCATCTGCAATCAATCAACGACGAAGTTCACTGAAGGACAGAAAGGTTTCCAAGAAGATTTGGATTGACTGTCAACAAAAAATGACAGCCGGCCCTGAGGCTCCGCTCCCAAGGTCGAGGCTCCGCTCCCAAAATTCAATCACTCTGAACGCGTCAAAGCTCGAGCATACTAGCGTGGCCCAGTACAAAAATACCGCAAGTGCACGGCCAATGAAATTAGACTAGCGTGGCCCAGCACCAGCATGGCAAACATGACCACTATGTCGCTATGAGTGACACTATGTCGCTATCAGTCACCCTTCCAGTGAAAGTGTGCGCCGTGCATTAATTAATTACATGCCTTCATTGCCTTAGCTTTCTTGCTCCTTTCTTGCCCGGTCAACGCGGCTCCGCCTCTCGCTTCACAGCCGTTTGTAAAGGTGCAGCTTCCTGCGGGTGGTTAGAGCGGATCTCGCGCCCAAACACGCTTCTGCCACAACCTTTACTAATGAGGCCACAAACTCACCACGAAGGTCGCCCAACCCACCTGACAGAGCTGGCGCACGTTTCCTTTGACGCCCCCTCACACAGCCATAGCAAGTGAGCACTCAGCCCGGCGCGCGTGAGCATTCTCAAGCTGTTCTCGGATGGCGCATTTGGAGCCTCCTTCAAGGCAGAAAAACTAACATGACAATGAGGTAGCCCACCCTGACCGCGTAACAACTCAACGGACAGTGAACTCAGCCGCAGACAGTTAGTGGTTGACCGGCTAAAATCTTCCAACGTGTAGAGGCGAGCTCCTTCTCGTTGTTGCTGGTCTTGTAGCGAAGTACCATCGAGGGCATATCTTGGAACCGCCCAACAGCGGCCAACCTGAAAGCGCATCTCACTGGAATGGTCCACGCATGACAAAGAACTTGAGACTGAAAACACCAAAGTGTCTCCACTGGTTCGCTCTATCAAGCCCAGGAGCGGCTTGTTGAAATGCTCAGCGTAACGCAGAATCAAAATTCGGCCACCCGCATGAACTCTAACAGCATGAGGATCCACACCTCCATACTGTCCGATGTAGGTTGCCTCCCGCGCAAACTTAAATGAAATTTTTCATTTAGATCCATGGGCATTCCTTTTACCTTTACCGTCCAAAATCCGTCCAGCGAACGGAAGGCTAAAGCGTGGACCATGCCAGTGCATGAGATGCGCTTTCAGGTTGCTGAAGATTCACAAGATATTAGCTCAATGGTACTTCGCCAGAAGAAGTCCAACCACGAGAATGAGCTTGCCTCTACACTTTGGAAGATGCTCGCCGGTCAACCATCAACTACCTGCGGCTGAGTTCAATGTCCGTTAAGTTGCCGCGCAAGCGAAAGGAAAAAAAGCGTCCAAACACCGTAAAAATCCGATCAAAAACCGTCGAGCGGAAGCCTAGAGAGCACGACGTGCAAGCGAAAGAACAAAACCGTCCAAAAACCGAAAAAAAACTGTTCAAAATCCGTCGAGCGGAAGCCTGAGGAGCACGCCCCGCAAGTGAAAGAACAAAACCGTCCAAAAACCGTAAAAAACCGTTTCGGGCTATAAAACGGTTCAAAATGCGTCCGGAAGGCTCAAGAGCGCAACTCACTAGCAAAAAGCGAAAACCCTTCTCTAAACCCTCTCAAAAATCTGTCGAGCGGAACGCAGAAAGAAAACCAAATATAAAATCCGCGCAGAACCCGTAAAAATCCGTCTGAAACCGTTGAGTGAAAGATTGTCGCAACTAAAAGAGCACGACTCACAAGCAAAAGCCCAAACAATCGTCAAAACCGTTACAGCGTTCACACGTCTAGTTCTTTTCTTTTCCACTCTTTTCTTGTCCCTTTATATTAATTTCTTTCAGAGAAACCGTGAACCAGAGCCCGCCCCCGCTCACACATCATAAATAGAACCAAGCCACCGCGCGCCTCGAGACTCCTCTCGCGCAACAGACACCTCCCCACGCTCCAGAACTGCAGTCGCGTGGGCCATCATAGGTTTTCCCCCACGCGGGCGCGCAAATTCGTCTTGAAGCGCTTGTCCTGCCGCAATCAAATAAAACAGATCTAATGGCTTCTGTTAGGTCTGGGGCCGCTCCAATTCTCAACGCAGCAAAGTTTATGGACATGTTTCTGTTTTGAAGTCCATAGACATGCTTTCCCGTCCACAACCGACTGTGTCTGGACAAGTAGAATGTTTGGACTTCTCCTGCTTCACCCGATCCCAAACAGCCACTTCGTCGGCGCAGCCGCAATCTTGCAGTCCCTTGGGCAGGCTGCCAACATCAGACTTGAGGGTCTTGACAAAAGCGGTAACCTGGCAAGCTGATTTGATGTGGCTTAGTCATTTAGCACGAAGGGAGCTAGAAGTAAATCTCTGATTCGCTCCAAGTAACTGCCAACCAGCAGGGCTCACATCTCCTACCCTCCGGGACTCTCCTTGCGGCCCACACACTTTAGCCTGTGCCACTCCCTCTGCTCCGACGTGAAGTCGCACAGGTCGCACTTGCAAGGCTTTTTCTTCTTCTCCGGTGGCAGGAAGTCCTGACACAAAGGAATATCACTTCTACTTCTCCTGCAAGAGCAAACACAAAAATTCAGCTCCTTGTCCATGACAACCTGCAGGATGTTAAACAAAAGATTTGCGCTTCTGCCATCAGAACTGCGTGGGGCGACCCGCGCCTCTTCTCCTTTGTTTCTGCTTGCCCGCTCGGTCACCTTCATACCAGTCTGGCCGAAATGAAAAGAGTCACAGCGCGCGCTGTGCTCAGATCGGCCTTCCGCATGATTGCCGCGATGAGCTGCGGCTTCGTTCCGCGCTGCCACCCGGCCCAAGATATAGCCGGGCGAGGTCATCGAGTCGTACTCCGCGTCATCGATAAAGGACCCTCCGAAAGCTTGGCCGCGACAGCGAGACTCTGGCATACATCAAGCGGAAGCTGTTTGCCTGAAATGGGCGCTCCCACTGGCCTTCTCGCAATTTCTTCTGCTTCATTCCAATCTCCTGAAAAGACAGGCCCAATGGCCGACATATCAAGAAGCATGTGCATCAGATGCAAGTAAAGGAGGGATGAAAGAAGCAGGCAATTGGTGTGGAGAAGGTTATCTGCCCCTCGCCAAAAAAAAGACCAATAGAAATCACACGCTTTCTTCTTTCAACATAGGAAATGACCCACGAAGCATCGGAGCGCAACTCACAAGCAGAAGGTAAAAACCTGTCAACAAACCGGATCAACGTTCGCCGGAGCAAAAGGTAAACGCCCGTCAGAAAAAAACGGCCAAACACCGTTAAAAAATCGTCAAAATTGCGTTGAGTGCAGTCAAAGGAAAACATCTGCCAGAAAACCCGTTAAAAAGCCGCTCAAAAACCGTGAAAACATGAAAAACCGTGGCTCAGCTGTTGACCCGAGCAAAAGGTAAACACACGCCAGAAAAACCCATCAAAAACCGTCGAAGAACACCGAGGAACGTTCAACGCAACCATGTCCTCTGCCGCTTCCGTTGCCAGCTTCCGCTTGTCAGCACGATCACCCAAGCCAGCTGCCTTAACAAGCAACCGGAATTAGAGAAGATGGATTGCAAGACGGAAGACAAGAACCTGGGTCATGGGCAGTCATCAGAGCTTCGCGCGCTGGCGCCTTCACCGGACGCATGGACGCACGCTCAGTCGAGAAAACTCAAAGGTTGGTGGGGTGGCCTCAATGCTTCTTTGAAAAGGCAATCTGGCAACCATCATCGCAAAAGAAATGGTAACCCTGGCTCCAAAAATGCGTACTGCAATGCATTTATAGCTGATGGCCTCAGGCCGGCCCGCAATGTCCGCTTCCTTGCGCAGCGCTGCACTGCGTCACAATCTGGGACGCCCCTTTCCGAAGCCTCCAAATCTGGCTGACCAGGTGGAATTCTGAATCCTGAAAAGGCAGAAGCGTCCAGGAATTCTGTCAAATAAATTACATCCATTGCCAAATTCAGAGGAACAACTCTCCACTCGCTTAAGAGTCCCACCCGCATCTGCTTCGAAAGCTCAAGCGCCAGACAAAGTCCAGCTTCTTGCTCCTCTTGCGTAGATAGAACATGTTTGCCCTTATCCTTGATGTCATTCATGATCCCGTTGAGCGGAGCAGGCGCTGCGCCGGGGACAGGAGAACTAAATGGATTCCGCTTCACAGGCGGCGTGCAAGGAGCCTTGCCAGATTAGGGATAAAAGCGCTAACAAATCCGTGGTAACATGCCGAAGAGGACAGCTGCCTACACTGATGCGTCACACTACAAGTGGGGGCCCTAAGGCACATCACGTGTCTGAAAGGCACATCACTGCGTGGCCACAGTGTTTAGGGAAAGGCGCATCATGTTTACGAAGGGCACATCAGGCACCTGGAACCCCATGGCCACAGCTGTTTCGAGTAATCTAAAAATTTGTCATCCTTCATGTGGAAACATGGAGCTCCCTTGCGGAAGGCAATGCTTGCGACCAATAAATCTTAATAGTTGACCCATGGAACCCGCATGGCCACGGCATCTTCAAGCAACCCTTGTAAAATCTTGAAACTATGCATTAGGTATGCATTAGATATAGTTTGCGAGACCTCCACGAGGCGACGCGCAATACATCTACCAATCAATGGTTTCTCACCAGCTGCCTTTCATCCATTCTTGGCCTAAAATGGGCTGATGAGCATTAAAAGCCCCCATGCGCAAACAAGCTTCAACAAACGCATAGAAGACTTCCAATTAGCCATTCCCCATGGCCACGGATCATCATCCAAAGACATGTGATCTTGTAAAGTTGACTGCTGGAATGCTACTCCACATGGCCACAGCCCAAAGATAGCGAACCTTCATGGACGTGAACCTACTAAAATTAAACCATGTAGCCGGGATAGCTAACCTGCTCAGCGCCCTGCCTCGCTTCTCTCCGAATCCGTAGGCGGTCGTGGGCTCGCGGCTGGGGCCATATTCTAAATCGCTGGTACAAGGTAAACCTACAATCCCAACAAGTAAGTCATTGCAAAGCCACATGGAAAAAACTACAATGTGTATATGTCCGTGTCAGAAAACCAGGTGAAGCCTAAACAGCCGCGGTAACATTCAAACCTTGCACATTCACTCGTGCAGGTTGTCTAACTTCCCCCCTCAACTTTTGTCAGACCTAAAATGTAATGTGAGTCTGTCGTGTACATGGAAAGCCTTGTCGACAACCATGGAATTCTTGTCGGGGAAAGAACCCGTGCTCCAACGAAGCGATCGCTCACGAGAAGCTACTTTGGAAGTTGAGGCCGAAGTTGCACCGGCTAGACCACCTGGTGTTGGATGTCGCCCCGCTTCAAAGCCCGTTACCACTGAGTTACTATCAAGATGAGGATGGTATGGGGAAACTGAGTGGCGTTGCTGTTGGTTGAGGCAGCTGACAGAGTAGAGTAAAGTAGAAAAGACAGCCTTCCACAAGAGTCACAATCTTCTTTATGTCCCAAAAGGCGGATGGTATGAGGATGGCACAACTCATGTACACCTGCCCTCTGCCAGCAACCCCCCAACCGGGCCGGTGGAGCCTGATCGTGGCCCGCTCCAAGAAACAGGCGCAAAGGCGGCGCAGCCCGCCGCAGCGGGATGGATGTTCGATGGACGACGTTTTCGATGGGAACCTGGAGAGATTTTTGAGATGAGGTATGGTATGTTCAAAGGGGTCTCCATTGGGCACCCCTTATCAAGCATATAAACCCAAAACTCATTGGGCACCCCTTGGATGTTCCTGGTATAGACTGTTAATATCTGTTAATACACTACTATCATAAACCTTCCAAACTTTCTTGCCTGCTCTCAGCTTAAAAAGTCCTTTCTGGCAAAGCGAAGAAGAGACACGACAGGGAGCACCCCCCCGCCACCAGGATTGATCCTCCCGGCAGGCAGCTCGCACCACAACCGGCACCTGAACTGTCAAACCACAGCAATCGGTGAGTTACCGATGGCCTCCAACCTAACCTTCAACAAAATAGCGTTCATTCTGCATTGAAGCATATTTGAAACGTGAGCTTCTATATCATTGACAAATCGGTGAGACCTGAGACCGGACACTGGGAGAGAAACAAGCAAGGGCTTTAAGGGCGAAGAGAGGCAAAGAAAAACCTTTCATGCTGGAACATCTTTACACGTTCCTACCATCTTGAGCACCCATTTTGGGCCACGCTGTTCCGCTGCTTCCCCAAGCCATCTCGGCGCCACACCAGGCACATGATGTTCATCTCTGGCACGTGAAACGCATCGTCTCGTGTTCTATGAGTGAAAGACAGCACGCCGGGCGTGCTGAATCTGCCTCGTGAGTTCCAGCGTGGCCTGTGGTCTATGGTTTCAAAACAGGCACGCGCAGGCACTGAGGACGTGTGGTCCGTCGATGGAACCCGAAGTGAACAGCACAGTGCGCACAAAGAGATGTTGTTGGTGTTGTGATGTGCGATGGCCTCCAACCTACTTGCAAACTATATATATTGGAGCTTTCTTATGCTTTCTTCCTCTTCTATATTCTTTGTCTCTAATGGCAATGGCATGCAATGGCCTCCCACCTAATAGGGATGGCCTCCACCCCAGTAGCAACGGCCTCCAACCTACTAGGGATGGCCCACTAGAGATGTGATGTGCGATGGACATCTGTTTGCTGATGGAAAAATATTGTGTTCTCTGCACAAAGAAAGCCTTAACTTAGGCTCAACACGCGCTTCGTCGGACTGTCGGACTAAGGAGAGATCTCATTCAATGATGCTAGACATGCCAAATGTATCCCAGGCATTACCAGCATCACTCCATGCACCTGGACTGAACCACAAACAGTAAATTTGAACTACTTGACACTTACATAAAGCAAACATATCTTTTCCCCTAGCTAATTGGAGGAAAAAGGATGACCTGCCTGGGGTCCTGTATGAAGTGGGCAATTCCATCACACAGTGTTTCCCCTAGTGAGTACATACTGCCGAAACAACTACGCAAGAGTTTGGGCACAATTTCCGCAGCTTTATCATGCATGCCACCAGGAAGCTTTCTAGATGAACATCAATGTTGCCAATCTTAGTGCCGCACGTCTCTCCTGCATTGGTGGACCTTGAAGCAACTAAACATACAGCGCCACAAATCTAAATGAACATGATTTGTGCTTCAACCAACACCCCCTCCTGAATCTTCTGAAGAAAGCTGCAATTTTCATGGACATGTTGTATCTCGCTCTGGGTTGCTGACATTGTATCCAACGCCCATGCCAGGTGTCAAACATCTCTACCGTGTTCAAGGGCTCCTCGCACGTAGCACCAAGGGCACCCAAACATGCCAACGAAACACTTGTGGGAGGCAGGTAAGCTGCCTGACCTCCACCCGCATTGCGAACATCTTCAATTGTCGAAGCAGTGTGTCTTCTTAAGGGTGCCAAGACCGACCGCTGATTCCTGCTCTTCTGGTAGTGATTGTATTGATGCCCATATGTTTTCTCATATTTCATATTTCTAAGAGTTGAGAGATGTCCAAGATGCCCGACAGATCTACCCCGACTTAGCACCCTGCACAGGCTCTGCACAGGCTCCTGGGAGATGTTGCATCGGCCCCCAATCCTGAGACTCGTTCCCTCCCCGGTAGGTTTTGCCGGGGAGGGTTAGGGGGGGTGCAGACTTGTTGGTGGCTTGAGGCAGTATGTTGAAGTGAACGAAAGCCTGTAAAATTATAATACAGCAAAAAGTACAATTTTTTTTGCATCATTGATGCAATGTTTTTTGACAAACTACGTCAGCACTTTTCACAAGGGCATCGGATACACAAATGATAGACAAAATGCTAAAAAAGTCGGGTGCATTCCAGGGCACCACTTGCATCCCTAAGAGGTGCATGGGAGGCACAAAGAGCACAGAAGAGACGGAAACAAAGCAAATCAACTTACGATTATAGTTTTTTCACACCAAGGCCCACAAGAAGACACAAAGAGCACAGAAGAGACGGAAACAAAGCAAATCAGCTTAAGATGAGAATTTTTTGACACCAAGGCCCACAAGAAGACACAAAGAGCACAGAATGGACACAACCAAGGCAAACCCTTTTGAAAAGAATGGAAAGCACCTGGGAAAATTGACACGGCAACCCCAAAAGTATGAAACAACCCTTTTGGGCAGACAACGCACTGGATCAAGGCTAACCTGCTTGAGAAGAGGCGACAACAAGGCAAGCCAACTTAAAAGGCATGGAAAGCGCATAGGAAAACCAACCAGGAAAATCAAACATACGAATCCAACAACACGAAAATCTCATTGGGGCCTAGAGCAAGTTTTTGTCGCAACAAGCCTCACAAAGACAAAGAACCAAGGGTAACCCATTTAAAAAGGATCGAAAGCACCTAAGGCACAAACAGCACAGAAGAGACGGAAACAAAGCAAATCAACTTAAGATGAGATTTTTTGATACCAAGGCCCACAAGAAGACACAAAGAGCACAGAATGGACACAACCAACGCAAACGCTTTTGAAAAGAATGGAAAGCACCTGGGAAAATTGACACGGCAACCCCAAAAGTATGAAACCACGCTTTTGGGCATACAACGCACTGGATCAAGGCTAACCTGCTTGAGAAGAGGCGAAAACAAGGCAAGCCAACTTAAAAGGCATCAAGGCAAGCCAACTTAAGAGGCATGGAAAGCGCATAGGAAAACCAACCAGGAAAACAAAAAATACGAATCCAACAACACGAAAATCTCATTGGGGCCTAGAGCAAGTTTTGTCGCAACAAGGCTCACAAAGACAAAGAACCAAGGGTAACCCATTTAAAAAGGATCAAAAGCACCTAAGGCACAAAGAGCACAGAAGAGACGGAAACAAAGCAAATCAACTTAAGATGAGAATTTTTTGACACCAAGGCCCACAAGAAGACACAAAGAGCACAGAATGGACACA